TCGTGGCGGCGCGGGGGCCACCCCCCCCCGCCCCGTCCGTTAGGCTGCGGCTGGGGAGAAGCTCCTCTCCTCTGTGCCCCAGGCGATGTTTGGCTCTTGGGCTGCAAGCAGAGGAGAGGCCAGCCCTGCCTGGCTGCCGGCCTTGGGTTTGGTGCATGGAGGGGTTTTACTGCTGCTCCTGCTGTGCCTGAAAGAGAGGGCTCACCGCGGCTTCAGAGAGATGGCTGATCATCCCCTTGGTGCTGTTCCACCTGGCAGAAACAAGGGGAAGAGCTGGATCCAGCTCGCCTGCCCCACCGGAGAAACCACGGCGGGCTTTGGGCAGAGACGGATGGATGAGCCCTGTCCTGACCTGGTGGCAATGCTGCTCCGGGAGCCGAGAGGGCCCAGAGCCCCAAAGGGGGGAGAAGGAAGAGGCTGGAGTACGGCAGTGCTTTCACGCATCCAAAGGCCAGGAGTTACGTCTTGCCAGAAATCATGTAGCTGCCTGAAAAATCATGCCATTAAACCCCAATAAATCTGTGGAGCGCTCCTGATGGGCTTTGTGGGTTTTGCTGCTGGATTCTGATTTTGAGGTGATTATATCCAACCTGGAAAGACAGAAAACATTCTATTTACTGGAAATGAAAGCTAGGATTTGCTTGGAAAACATTCCATTTACTGGAAATGAAAGCTAGGATTTGCTTACAACCAGTCTCCTGCCTCCAGGATCTTTGTGGGTGCCGGCAGCAAAGCACGGTGGCAGCGAAGCTGGCAGCAAAGCTCAGTGCATGGCGAGTGGAGCCGTGGGGACACCGGCCCAGGGGACAGAGTGGGCACGCAGCTTCCCTCCAGTGCCCTTACACCGTGCCGTCCCGTCAGTTGTCGCTTGCTGTCGCTGAGCATCCTTCGCTGGATAATTAAGAATTGCAGGTTTAATTTTGGGGCTGGCAGGGTGTTTTTGGCCGCTGCCTGGTGCGTGGTGGAGCCCATGGGCATCCTTGTGCATCAGCTGCTCCTCAGCCACGGCCCAGCCCTTGCCGGGGAGGAGGGTTGCATAGCTCATGGCTGTGGCTTTTCCATCATTCCTGCAATGCCATCACTCCGTCGCCGGCTGGGAGAGGGGTGGGAAATGCTTTGGCACCCGATTTCAATCAGCACCGTGCTGCGAGCTAACGAGGCAGAAGGGACCCGCGGGCTCACGCCTGTGGCAGCCCAGCAGTCCCCGTGCCTCCCAGTCCCACTTTCTCACCTCTTCTTCAGCGTGGTCCAGGGGACATGAGGTGCCAAGGCTGTGAATTAACACCCTTGTATTTACCTGAAACTTCACTACCTCCCTCAAAGTGTGAAAAATAAAGGGGGTGCTGAAGCAGCCGGCAGCAGGGAAGACGAGATGGCTCAGGCCAACCCCATCTCACGAACCTGGCAAATGTCGCCTCCTATTTCGCCACCACCCATCTGGCGCGGGGGAGAGGGGGAGCTCGGGATGCCCCGGCACAGGCGGATCGAGGCTGGAGCAGGGAAGGCCCACGGGACCAGGGAAGGCCCACGGGACCAGGCACCCTTCCCTGGCTGCATCACTGATGTCTGGGGACGCAGGGCTGTCCCCGTGCCCCTCCTGTTGCTTACCCCAGCTGCCCCCGAGCAGAGCCGCCCGCTGCCGGCACCCCCGGGGCTGTCTGGAGGGCGATGGAGGGGAGGGCGATCCCCGGGGTGTCACCGAGCCCGAGGGACGACGCACAACGAGCAAAGGTCCCGGCGCTTGGCGTCCGCACGCAGACAGCTGCGGCGTGCGGCCAGCCCGAAGGAAAGCAGATGTCATTTAGAAAAGCCATTTATTTTACCCTTTGTCCCTACAACCGATACGGAAAGGTGACAGTCAGTCAGTCAGTCCCTCCCTCAGGGTGACCGAGTTTCTTCAGGGCCTGGCACTGCCTCGGCGGGGCTGGCGCCCGCTGTCCGGGACGGGCTGTTTGCCCACAGCTAGGGTGTCTCTTGAACGCCCGGAGAGGCCCGCTGCCGCCTGCTCGGGCGGCTCCCGGGGCCGGCGGCC